TTATTTACAACATTTTGGAGAATTAAGGGGGCTACTTCGGTTGCCGGAGGGTCGCCAACCCTGGGTAGGTGAGATATGAAGGATAACCTGTAGGTCGTGGACCCGCGGTTAGAAACCAAGGGAAGTAACCTGTAGGTCATGGACCTGCGCTTAGGAACGTCGAGGACCTAATGGTGGGATTAGTTGCCCTGGGGTCGTGGACCGGACATCCCAATGGACGGCTCCTGGTCGTAAGATCGTGAAGCCCATGTAGATAGTGTCCTGCCGCATGAATTGGGGGCTAGTCAGCTCATTTTGTGCTTCAGTACTGACGATTAAAAGCACTGAATGAGCTGAAGGCCGAGCCTATGGAAGGAGCTGAAAGGGGCAACCGAAGAAGCCCGGTCGGCACAAGCGTGGTGTTGGAAAACAAGTTACACATGTATATCCCATATGGTGACTGTTTTTCACTATTCATATTCTAATTTCATTGATAATACCACACAATCACAGTACTCCTTGAAACTTTACAATGACTACACGTGTTAAATACAATAGATTGAACGAGACATGTATTTGGTAAAATACATGTATGTTTGTTAAATATGATAATAAAACGAATTTCTTTTAATTCCTTTTATTCAAAATGTCTTCGGGAATTATAAAATGTTTGGAATATAGAGCTGACTTGATGGGAGATGTGATGTCAGCCAGCTGAGGCTGTGCATGTGGACACAAAGTTGCACCGATTACGTAATACATCAAGCCTCTTTGTTCAAGGAGAAATATACAAGAAATGATATGTAACAATCTTCTGTGTACTAATTACATGTATCGATGTTATCAGTTCTGCGTTCTGAGAAACAGTGATTTAAGTATCTATTACAATTAACAACACATTTATATAATAAAATATAAAAAAAAAATCTTTGCTGGAATTGGTGGTGCCGATCATTCGATTGGGTAAGAATAGTAAAATATATAACTAGACGACCAACTATTCACACCCGATACAAAAAACAAAAGACATATTTAAGTAACAGTGCTATTACATGGCAATTAAATTCAAATTAGCAGATTATTTAGAGAAAGTGACTACATCCCCTGTAATCAAATCTGTCAATAAACTGAAAGTCATATCTATCGGAGACACCCCAGAGTTACTAAGTTTTATTCATTTCAATTTACTATATTTCTACAATTCAAAATACTTTAGTGTTACATCTTTTAGAGGAATGGGCATACACACATTAATTATATTGATTTCGTGTGTGAATGCACGTAATACTTGGCATCTCAGTTCTCAGCTCCAATATGCTTCAAACGGGTGCTATATCTGAAATTGTAATGTGAAGCATACGTGTAGTCTTCTGTCAAACATGTTTGTGTTGTCTATGCTATATCCTATCCTTGGGAACCGCTTGTGCACGGGCAAGTTGTTTAGTACAATATGTTTTTCTTTAATAAAACCTATTTTAATTTGTTTAGCTTCTTCCATCTGGTATGTAACAGGGATCAGGTATGTTCAGGCATCAATAGAAGCTTCTTCCATCTGGTGTTAAACACATCAGTTCAGGGATCACTTCAAGCTTCTTCTATCTGGTATGTAACACATCAGTTCAGGGTTCACTCAAAGCTTCTTCAATGTGGTATGTTACACATCAGTTCAGGGATCACTCCAAGCTTCTTCAATCTTGTGTGTAACACATCAGTTTAGGGATCACTACAAGCTTCTTCAATCTGGTATATAACACATCAGTTCAGGGATTACTCCAAGTTTCTTTCATCTGGTATGTAACACATCAGTTCATGGATCACTCCCAGCTTCTTTCATCTGGTGTGTAACACATCAGTTTAGGGATCACTCCAAGCTTCTTCAATCTGGTGCGTAACACATCAGTTCAGGTATCACTCCTATTTTCTATCATCTGGTATGTAACACATCAGTTCAGGGATCACTCCAAGCTTCTTTCATCTGGTGTGTAACACATCAGTTCAGGTATCACTCAAAGCTTCTTTCATGTGGTGTGTAACACATCAGTTCAGGGATCACTCCGAGCTTCTTTCATCTGGTGTGTAACACATCAGTTTAGGGATCAATCAAAGCTTCTTTCATCTGGTATGAAACACATCATTTCAGGAATCACTCCAAGCTTCTTCCATCTGGTGTTTAACAGATCAGTTCAGGGATCACTCAAAGCTTCTTCCATCTGTTGCGTAACACATCAGTGTAGGGATCACTCCAAGCTTCTTCCATCTGGTATGTAACACATCAGTTCAGGCACCAATACAAGCTTCTTCCATCTGGTGTTTAACACATCAGTTCAGGGATCACTCCAAGCTTCTTCCATCTGGTGTTTAAAACATCAGTTAAGGGATCACTCCCAGCTTCTTTCATCTGGTGTGTAACACATCAGTTTAGGGATCACACTAGCTAATTTGTTTTTCTCTATACCCTTTTATGCATGTTTATTTTATGTTTCTTGATATTACTGTTCATGTCAGTGTTCCCAAATCTCGTTTATCCCGTGTATCCCGTGTGTTTTACACTTTAATGTTTCGCCTTCCTAACAAAACGCCATAACATTTCAGATCATGACCATCCTCTAATACCCAACAGATGATGCCAAGACATATTTGATTTGCTTGTATTGTCTACATGGTCCTAAAATTGATTTGATTAGACTTTAAATCTTTTGTCTGGTGCATATTTTCACAAACAGGACTCTTAGCTGATATAAGGAATGTAACATCCAGTTGGTTTTCCATTTATCTTACTTACTGTTTTTTTATCAAATAAGAGGACTGTATACGACATATGTCAGTCTGTTAATTTTTAAAAAATATGGTGTTATGGTATTTTTCCTCATTGTTATCTGAACTGAATAAAGTACTTCTATTTTGTTAGTGGTTGTTCAACTTAGTTACTTATTCAACTGTTCTGAATACTGCTATAAGGTAAGAATGCATCCTCATAATTATAACAAGGTCAACCTAAATTAATGGTTATAATATTAAAACGCCGAAGTGTTGTCGCAAACAAGCAGGAATTCATTAGGGCGATGACAGTGACAGGACATTTCGGGATGGCTTCGGTGTTGTTGTCGCCAATATACAATAGCCATCTTAGATAGGTTAGTAGGTTCTGGTAATTTTCCGATCATGTCACAAACAAGACTTAATGGTCTGAAATTGTTCTGACCAATTAAAATGATCTATGAGGACGTGTGACAAAGACCCGAACACTTTAAAATTATACTTTCAACATTAGTAGAGGAGAGCGCGGTTTTGCAGTCGAACGAGTTGAATCCCGATCGTTCTAAGTTCCAAATTTTGTCTCGCCTGGCTGTTCTGATCCTGTCGTGTATTGATAGATGAACTGAAGAGAAAGTAAAACAAATGTGAATATAAAGCCAGTGTTGCGTTACTTTATTACGCGAGTATGAAGCCTGATAGAGACCACATAGAATAAACTAAATATAAAGTAAATCTAGCCAGAATCACTGACATAGAACTTATATCAAGCCCCCTTGCAATTGTTATGTTGTAACCACCCTCATAATTGTTTCTACAACTTTGTAAAGGAGGATTGCAAGTCTATTATACGATTGACAACTGTGTGTGTGGACGCGATGCAGACAGGCAAAGGGAAGTAACTCAGTTCGTTTGCGTCGTCTGCTACGGGTTTTGCTAACTGCTGGGTCTCGGGGTACATAGGCTCACAGACAGGGTAGATGACACCACATACCCCTGGATTTCAGCTGACACATTGTAACTGTTCACATGCGAAAAGTAGCAGATCCTGCAGATATTTATCTTGCGCTCCTGTATCACAGAAAATGTGTAGTTCCAGACTAGTAACTTTGTTAAAAAGATTCATACATCTATTGAGTGTGTCAGTTCTGAAAGGGACGATATGAGATCATCAATATGCCTGAAGCTGAAGCTTAATCCACGAACGGGTGCTGAAAAATCAAGAATTGTTGTCCACACTAATGTGAGATGGAATCGACCACCATCACGCTCATAATGATTTGTGGCCTCTCAGGCTACTTGGCCTGCCGTGTCAACAATACCTATCAAGAGAAATCCTCGCCGTTTCTTTGATAGAATCTTTCAGGGGATGAAGCACATCCGCATAATTGGCACCAGTAATCGTTTTTTGACAGTCTAAGTCATCAACAAGGTTCACACCCTTTGTATCCCAGAATACAGTGGCCATAACTTTCTTCACTGATTTTGAGGACTTGAATTTCTTTGGTGCCGGAGAAGTGGAATAGTGCCATTCAATATATTGACGTTTTTACCCATAATCATAGTGGAAGACCCATGTTTTATTACCCGTTCCTGAACTGTTTTTTTTAATTTGACGAAATCCTCCTCAATTAGTTCAAAGTTATCTCTGGCAACGTCAGTTCTTTTTTCCTTTAGATCAGAATTTTGAAAAATTGTCACCCAACGAGCAGATATCTTATTCATCTGTAAATGTTCATGAATAACAGTTTCAATGGATCCATGGCTTAGACCTGTGTCTTCCTTATGTTCAGCAAAACGTCTTTTTGCCCAGCCCTCGTATTAAAGTTGTGAAGTCTGTACGCTAAATACTGACACAAAAGATAAATACGTACACATATTTTCGCACAAATCGAAGCTGGAAATTGAATCAATATATCACTTGTTTCTTTGATTGAGGAAGTCACGATTACTTAATTATATTTGCTTGAATATTTGAATTCAAGCGTGATCAGTGTTTAAAGATCACGTTTTTCTTGAAATTGTTCGATCATCAACTAAGAGTAAATGGTAGGGAATAAAATGTGTTCCGGCATTGCCTGGTGGTGTTTTTCTAATAATTTATTCAGCTAACGCCTGGTCAAAGAGCATGGCGTCGTAGTTATTATATTGTCGCTTATTTCTATTTGTATCCTGGTCCTTTTTTGTATTGTGAAGGGGGGAGGTCGGTGGTCGGTGGTTCGATCCCCTTATACCCCGATACCTAAATAATAAACGTGTTTACATCATCATTATCGTTGCCGCAACCAATATCACATACAAACATTGCATTACAAATGAAACGTAGGTTAGGTTTCTGAGGGATTTTCGCTATCACCAGTGAGGCGTGGTATTTTGTTAAACGTTCATGTGAGTAGCGGGACGAACAATACCCCTGGCGCACAAAACCGTTGGTGTTGAACCATCAAGTTATTGAAGCTGCCCTTTCACCAAGTTCGTCATAGTTCTTTGGGCATAATAATATACATCAACCTTTCACGCAATGTCATAGTGTATAGTTGGTGGCTTTACAGTTTAGGAAAATGTTTTTCATACTTCCTCCTTCTCACGACCTGTGAGATAGGGTTGGCTGCTCATTGTAGCTATGCTTTCGTTCTTGAGGGTCTCCCATGTGCGCGAGGTTAAATTACAGCCTCTTATCATGTTGATGAATAATGTATACTTGTTTGTATGTTGTAAACGTTGTTTTACTTTCGTGTTCGCATAGCCCCGCTATGGTCACTAGCTTCACGCGTAATACACAGTTCTCTGGAGCTTGGATTTATGTTATAAGACAAGTGTTTACATACTGATTTCCATGATGACAAATTGGATGTTCTCGTATCATACAAAAGTAATCTTATTTGTGTAATATATTTTGGGTCTTTCGTCGTGGCGGTTTTCATAGTCTTACAAGAGTGGACACAAACCAACACCACGGAGGAAGATGTTGTGACTACCATCGCATGAACAGCTTCCAGGTTAATGCCTGACGGAACTATGCAGCACTCATTGTAAAGTTTCTTGGACCTAAAGCACACTAACTATGCAGTCCGAGTTTGTATTTCAGGGAGCAGTATTCGTTTGTTGTGTGTATTTGATTTCGCCTTCAAATGGTAAGTATTCATATTGAAAAATATGTTTTTTTTTAGAATACATGTAAACAATGAAATGTACGGCATTATTAATTAGATAATTGATTACATGGGTATGATCTCTATAATTGTCACGAGGGACAGATGATACGTAATTCCGAGTTTCGAGTATGCTTGATTCCTTTTATTTTAAGAAAGAAAATGAAGAGTGAGTGAACGCCACTTTGAAAAGTGATTCGGTTACAAGTATATCACGGCGTGTCAGCTTGATGTGGACGAAAAACCTGAAGTGATTCAGGTCTGAGACATTTACCACTTTGGTGAAACCCACGAGAACGGTTGTGGTGAAACAGAATAGAAACATATACAGGACAAAACTAGGGTTCGAACCCACGATCAGACATTTCTGGCACGCAAATTTTCACAGCATATTGTGGTGTCGCATACGGCTGTGTCACTCTTACCCCAGAAAATGAAGAAATCAATTTGTGACGAGTGGTTCTCGACTACCATTAAACATTAAAACTGTCACCTGGGCTGATAAACGAACATAAGCAAACCCGTGAAGATCCGGTTAGAATAGGTCTTCAGCAACCAATGCTTGTCGTAAAAGGCGTAAGAGGCAACTAACAGGATCGAGTAGTCAGGCTCGCTGACTTGGTTGATGCATGTCATCGTGTCCCAATTACATGGGTTGATGCTCAATCACCGGATTGTCTAGTCCAGATTCGATTATTTACAGACCGCAGTCATATAGTTGGAATATTGCAGAGTGTGGCGTGAAACAAAAAACAAACAACCAACTTATAAGCAGCAGATCTCTGCACTTGTACACAGCAGACGTAGTTCAAAATGAACACATTGTTTTAAGTCTCAACAAAGTCAGTGGCCCATGAAGATCTAGATCCGGGGTGGAAAAGGTCTTCAGGAACCCATGCTTGCCGTAAAAGGCGACTATGCTTGTCATAAGAGGCAACTAACGGGATAGGGTGTTCAGGCTCGCTGACTTGGTGATGCATGTCATCGATCCCACTTGCGTGGATAGATGCTCATGATATTAATCACTGGATTACCCTTATCTACAGACCGCCGTCATATAGCTGGAATATTGCTGAGTGCGGCGTTAAACAATAAACAAACCAAACCAACCAACAAAGTCAGTAAATGTGCTTTCGTGTCATTGGAGGTTCTGGCACACCGGTTGATTGCCTGGTTTATTCACAGGCCGCAGTCGTATGGCAGGAGTTTTGCTGGGCGGCGTGCACGTCAGGCAACAAACAAACATGATATTTCATGCAAGTTGTGTGTGTGACGGTTACTGCCCGGAAGACGGGACATGCTCATGCCCTTTTTTTGCGATTCATTCTGTGTTTACCCATACTGTGCATTTTACACACAAAAGAATCTGTTTCGGAGGATAATCGAGACTGGTTATGCTCAGGCGTTGATATTTTGTTATTTACACTCAATCTTTCCGATATACCTTTATGGGTAATATGTACGTAAAATGCGTTTATGTAAAGGCGTTGAGATTGCTTTTGCATAGTTATTTCTGTCTGCAGTTACAGTGAAACATGGGAGGACCTGTGTACGAAACAGTTCAATAACAGTTGAACTTCAGTGTTCCGCCAATGAAAGGATACATGTAGAGGAAGAGTCATATGGGATCGGAGTCACAAACTCATGTCGATTACAAACTAACGGATCGTGTAGAGAGGTCATTCAGACTTCCATAAATGGCTTGTCCGTAAACTGCGATGGGCAACAGTCATGTAATGAAACCGTGTCTCCACTTGGCGAATGTAAACCTGCTGCCACTGCTGCTGCTGCCGAAGTAAAGTACAGGTGCATCAATGGTGAGACATGCAAGGGGAGGGGTGGTGAGATTCGTCTTAGGAGTGGATCATATTTTGCTGACCCCCATGTTATGTATCATTAATCATGCCCCCTTAATCATTACCTTAATCTCGACCCCCCTGCAATTAATGACTAAATGACTAGTCCCCAATTATAGCCATCGCGTTTAAAAGCAATACTACTCGCACCGTTAAATGAAATCTGTCAATAAGAATTCTGTGTAAGCATTTTGAGATATATTAAGATGATTAGTTATCAATTTCATCCAGATAATATGCTGTCCATGACATATATACATTTTACCCTCAATGACCAAAGTGTCTAATCGTATTTGTCACGTTTATATGTTTGGGTGAATTATTATCACATCTGAACTTATCATACGATATATACATAAAAATGTTCTTATGCCTTCAATATGTTGCCGTCTCGTTTAAAGTGAGTGAGTAAGGTTTAACGCCGCTTTGAACATTATTTCCCGACGTGTTAGCTTGATGTGTGGGGAAAGCCCGAAGTGATGCAGATGGTACCAGCGTTTACCACTTTGGTGAACCCACGAGCACGGGTATGGTGCTGACAAACCAAGACACATTAGTCTCGTTTTAAGGAAGGAGAAGAATTGTCACAGGGGTGGTGCATTTCTGTATGTCGACAGGGCCGTCAAATCAACTTCTTTAATCAAAGCAATGCTATTAGTATGTTAAACTCCCAGTCGGACGGGACTCAAACCAATAAGGTACTTTACTGAACAAGTGTTATCCCAAATATAACATTTGTTACATCAAAATATGTCTGAGCCACGTTCTATCTAGCGTTTGACTTGTTTGCAGATAGTATGGACATCTGTGGCTTTGACACCATCACTACAGCCACAAACGAATCTGTGTACCTTCACTCGCCAGGCTACCCGGACAGTGTTGGGATGAATAACAGTTGTGTGGTGAGGATCAAGGGGAAAGACATTCAAGTAACACTGGTTGAGCAAAGTTTAAATGGGGGAAACTTGACCATTTCAGTCAATGGTCAAAACTGGTCAAATGTGGACACCAACCTATACAACAGAAAATTACAAAAACAATCTTCGGAAGTCGGGATATTTTATACTGACAGAGGCAATGATAAATCAAACGTGTGGATTAGTGTTGTTGGTAAGTTCACCGTTTTTGCACATTTATTGATAAGTTATATATCTCTGTTGTTTTATCACATGACTTTCTTGTATCGGGTAGTATCTTTTAAAATATAAGTAGAAGGCGAGTATAGGTTAAGAAGTAATTTAATTTACGTTATTAAATTTAAATGTTTATTACCCGTTGTATTGAATAGCAAGATCACACACCCCTATCGTATTTTTCAAATGGCTGTATGTTTCAACACGTGCATATATGTGGCTTAAGACTGTTGGCATCCATCATGACAATTATTCAAAGATGTTTTATTCCCAGCTTCAAGTCCAATGTATATAACTTTCAACGGAGAAATGATTGTGACATCGGAGACTTCAACCTCGTTGGTTTCTATGTCTGAAGGATCCTCACCTCTAGATGGCGTTACAAATCAATGGATGTCTCAAACAGAGCCAATAATGGCAACAAGCACCCTCTCTACTGACACGCCAACATTGTCAGCCGTGTCAACAAGAATGGCCTCCACTGAGACGCAAACATTATCAAGTGTGTCAACAAGTACCCTCCTTCCTGCCACGGGTAAGCATATTCAATAAGAGAACTCCTTATATGATGAGATTTGAGGTATTGTATGTTTGATACAAGATGCAGAATTGCTATTTTGGCAGCCGTAGTGTTATACCACAAATGACATACTTACCTTGTCGGCTTGCTGACGGGTTTAACCTCTTTGGTCATGTGGACAAGGCGTCCGACCTCGGATCAGAAGCTCCGTGGTTCGAATCCCATCATGGGACTCGGAAAATGTATGGCCGCTACACTGTGATTTCATATTGATATGGCAAAAGGTTTGAACTAAGAGCGTGCCATTTGTATCATCCCCTGACCGAAGGCTCGAAACCAAAATTCCATAATTTTTTTCCTTCTTTGAAAAGAATAGTTTCAAATAAACCCTCGTCCAGTTCTATAAAATCAACGTAACAGTTTATGAAACGTCTTCTGCACGGCAGTTACTACAGCAACATACACAGGTGGAGATACAGTCTCAGTCATTGCCACAGCAACCGTTGAAGTGACATCGAATACAACAATTACTGCAATGACAATTGAGCCCACGACCACTTCTGCTGCAGGTAAATATAGTATGATACATTTAACATGTACATTATTTTAATGTTTTAAAGGTTATAACTCGTGTTATAGATGTTTGTATAGTTTCAAGGCGTTTCATGCATCAATATGACGACCGTTTATTAATTCATTAACTTCATCTAAATGGTAATCCATGAATCCACTTAAAAATACTGATATGAACACTGGTGTCGTTTCATACAACGTTTGCCCTCCCTTCCTCGTGATCACAGAAAACATAACAGTTGGAATGACATTGGGCGAAACAACTGATATTCAAAGTACAACTGTGTCAACGACAGATGGTTCCGATAAAGGTAAACGTGGTTATCTGGTTAACCAGTCTGATATGATGACTCAATTGATCAATTATCGTAGTATTATAGTTACACTAACTGTTTGTACGATGTGTATATCAAAAGCGTCAGCGTAGTATTTTCTTTGAGCGACACATTTGTAAAGACACAATTAGAAAAGATTGCAAAAATCGAACACATTTATAAAAAAAATACGCAATGTCTAAATGATCATCAATCAAAGCACTGTATAAACTCCTTGACCACAACAAACATATTATTATGAGAACAAGCCATCTATGACAGAGGTAAATCCATGTATATTTTGGATACATTTATATATGATAATATACATTAAAATGTATGAAAAACGTTACAAACTACTTATTTCCACTTTGATGCAAACGATCAACTGATTTATATTTTAAACTTACATGTCAGATCTGGTTATCGTGGCTGCTTCTAGCGCTGCAGTTATTGTGGTGGCGGTCATAGTTGCCGTTGTAGTCGCAGTTGTCCTATGCAGGTAGGTTCACAATACGCACGTTCAATCATGTGACGAAGATTATTATTCTTCTGGGCAAATTGAAGATTTCTTCTTTAACAATTTCAAACGTATTCTGATATAACATTTTGTGAGTGGCGGGTATTGCGGGTAGAGCAGTTCATGCTTAGTTACCCTTTTACGATTACCTGATTTTCTGTGATCCATTCATACATTTTTTTCATCATTGTTTTGCCTTGTACGCCCCTTGGAATCTGTAATTCGACGTACTCATATTATTATATTATATTATATACACCTTTATTAAGCAGTTTTAGCAGTGTTTAATAACATTACGCGCTGACGGAACTATTATTGGCATCAGCTAAGCTAAGTGTCATTCCAATGGAAGCGCCGGTCGAACTGTTCATCTGTTCTATGCAGCTTGTAGATGGATCATCTACTCTCGATAAGTACTGCTCTTTGTACGAAATACCAGATCCAAATGCATAGACACACAATGCATACATCTAAACAGTCGGTGTATTATTGATATACTAGTATTTTACTTGACTCAGGACTCTCGAACAAATACGTTTGATATAGTGCGTATACCTAACTCTTGCATTGTAACAGCGCAAGTATCGTGGCATTACAAATGTTCAGGGCATCACTAATACACAAAACGTTGAGTCGAAGTATCTTCGCAACATTCATTTACGCGTCTATTTACGAAGTTTAACTTTGTCTAGCAAAGGAGAACAAAACCCTTCTTGGACGAAGTGGACAGTCGTTAGCAATGTCGTCCTCATGTCAATCGAGCAAAGGATGTTTCGTGTTACGAAATTGCCCAAATGTATCTTACATTTTCAAATGCACATAACATAAGCGGTATCTTACTAAGACTCGTTTAGTAAGCTGCATTACTCAGGAATTCTAACTGATTATTTGTGATGTCAACATAACTCGTGTGTATGTATTCTCATGTCCTCTATCAATCTATATAGACATGATCATGAACATGTACATTTGTTTAAATTGTTAATACAAACAATTCATTACGTGTTCTTGTGTATTGTAGGTGTAAAAATAGTAAAACCCGCCGTTCTGTAACTTCTCCCCGCAACTGTAGCTTTGGAAGACATCTTGAGCTCAACTCTGTCGACAATGGAAAACATCACAATGGTTTACGAAAGAATGACGACAGTCAACATTATTTCATCATAGATCCAGAATTCGTAGCTGGAAATGGGGATGTGGCATTGCATACAGAATCAAGAACAGAAGAAGGCACCAGCCCGCTCCGAGTACAAGACAGGTACTCTACAGTATTGCCACGCAGCTATAGATTAAACATGAAAGACAACAACACATTTACGACCAAACAGCCAGGCAGTATTACATCAACAGATAATTCGATTGGCTCAAATGAAGACAAGGAAATCGAAATAATCAATGATAAACTTGAATCGGTGGACAGCAGTCTCTCTGATTCAGGAAACAGTACAGGTTCCACATGTCATATGACCGAAAACGATGTATACAATGGAGGACCTCCTACTGCTGAGAACCTTGATGTAAGTATAGATGGCGGTAATCAGGATGAAGAAAGCATGCCCGAAGACCTGTATCAAAGAGAAGAGGCAGTCAGGGGCGATACAGTTGAAGGAATGGTTGACAATGATATGTATGAGAGTTCTGGATATGACAATACAGTTGCAGAGCAGAGTGGTGAGTGTGAGGAAGTGTCTGCTTCGGCTACCCTAGATATCACTACACAGGGTGAAGCAGAAGAGGAGGTTGACATTGTTACCAATGACCTCTACCACAGCTTTGTGTAAACCTTGAAACGTCTACTAGTATTGGTGATGAAGCTTACGTCTTGTGTTGATGACGATCCAGCCATCGATGGTAACATCTTTTGATGTTTATTACCATTACAACTATCATCACGACTTGTCACGCCTTACATGTAAGGGTATCATCTCTGTGTTTCAGAGTCGTATTCGGATGATGAGGGATGTACATTAAGACATCAACATTATGAATACAATTTTCGCAATCGATAAATAGCAGTACCAAAGGATATATTGTACTGGTAAATTATTTTACTTGCAAAGTGTGTAAATAATATTTGTGACATGTTTAAAAAGTGTCTTAAATGTGCGTGTTATCATTTTCATGCCATCAAAGACAGTATCGTGTCTAATTGTGACATTTGTTTAAATGGACATTTTATCTATGAGGACAATCACGTTAGCTTTGAAAGCAATCCTAATGAAGCACACCAACTTGGATATGCAAGCACATTCTACGGTATAGATATCTGCGATGCGAGCGTAGGTTTCATTGAGCGAGGTACGTGAATGAAGTGGGTTAAACAGTATTTTAGTTATATCATAGCGCTTTCGGTTACTGTGGCAGGAAAATAAGAGATTCGTAGATCTTAAGTTGCAAAGCCCATATTTACGTGTACTGAGAAGACACATACAGAAGCGTATCGTCTGGGGTGGGGCGGTGGGGTTATATTCTGCTGTAATCCCAATCAGTGGATTCTAGCCGCTCCTCGCAAGCCAGTACTGGGTTGAAGAGTACCTTACCCAAGTACCCCTTCAGGCAGGTGTGTCGTATAGTTCTGTACTAATAGAACAGCTTACAGCATAGTACGTTTCAATGCTATTCCTACCTCGGTATACAGGTCAATATAAATATATGAAGGAGTATTTCTTTTAGACGTAATTCACCGAGTGAAGGAGATTGATGGTACGAGAACATGGGCCGTTACCAAGGAAACTCGTGAGAGTGAATGGCTTCGTCTTGAAATGAACGGTTTTTATAACGTTCATACATTACTGGCTTTTCAACAACTGTCCTTTAATGATGGTTTGTAATACATAGCAAGGGAATGAACGTCAGCTTTTCAGTTTATTATAAGTGATAAATCAATGTAAATTATCCCACCCGAACCAATTGATTTAGTACGAATTTACACATACAAGGGACGCAGATGCAGGATGAATATTACGCACGTTATTTGTATATATTCGTTGACTCAAACCGACATACACATTCGTCTCTGACAAAATATATTTTGCATTGTCTCACCAAAGATTAAATAACTAAATCTGTGTTAGATGGCTGATACAGATGTTGCTGTCGTTTATACTATGTAAGTACAAAGAGAAATAAACATGTATTTTCTCTCCTTGTATGTTAGATAGTTTTAAGAAAGAAATACGATATGTGTAGACTGTTTGTAACGAGAATACCACGTATCAGAACATTTCAAAAATGTTTTGTGTTTCCTGGCAGCTGATGCATGTGTTTTAAATAAACTCAGCAAAACTCATACGTTTAAAAGCCTAAAAGACAAAAACACAAACAACAACTCTACATGTGTGTAGATGTAATTCAGTTTCCGATGACAATTGGTCTCTTCAGCAATGGTGACTCAGTTTTTGACCATCAACTGTTCACACAGTGCGACCGGGAGTACTATCGTTACTACGCATGAATCATCACATCATCATGCACATTGTCTTACAGCCATGTTGTCACAATGTGTAAATCAGGGATGGTTGCATGTATGCAGCGTAGACCTATGAAAGGAAAATTTCCATTACTCAATGTCTGAGTGAGTCAACCGCCAATTTGTGACCTGCGCTTATCATTGTTCACTTGAGTGTAATCGAACATTTCCACTAGTATTTTTTTTTTCTGTTACAGTCAAATTACATAATTATTTTTAAACTTCCAGTTATTGATTCCAACTTCCATTTTTTTCCTGTTCTAAAATACTAGTAAGTAACAGTATGGTGATACACTGCGTAAACTAACATTTAGAATATCTATGCTACAGGCTGGCACAGTCATATACAGTTGCATTCAAGGGTGACCTCTAGGTGTGTGAACAAACCTAAAAACAGATTAGCACGGAAATTAACGATAACGTTTGCATTAACAGACAGACAGACAGACAGACAGACACACCGAATTACGTTTAAGTCTTAATCACGTATTGCACCTGATCGGCTCTGTGGTTTGGTGGTAGAGCGTCCGCCCTGAGAGCGGAAGGTCCGGGGTTCCATCCCCAGCCGTGTCATACCAAAAGACCTTAAAAGAAGGTACTTGTTGTTAACCTGTTTAGCGCTCGACTTTAAGGGGCTAAAACAAGGACTGGTCGGCTCGGAGTCAGTATGCTGTGTCTGAGTGGGGTATTCATGTTAAACTGAGGCATGGTATCTCAGTAGCCTAGCACTATAGGGGCGGTCGGGTAGCCAAGTGATTAAAGCGTTCGCTCGTCACGCCGAAGACCCGGGTTCGATTCCCGACATGGGTACAATGTGTGATTGTGTGGTGTCCCCCGCTGTGATATTGCTGGAATATTGCTTAACAGCGGAGTAAAACCATGCTCACTCGCTCACTCAGAAGCACTGTAAATCAGCATCAGTCTGGACTAGTACAAGCAGCACACACACTTATAAGAGCAATAATCTTGGACGCGACTTCACATCACCATTGATGCACCTGCCACTTTTAGAACTATTAATGGATGCAACAGAGAATGGATCTATGTCGGGTTGCAACAGTGTATCTCAATGACCGAAGGTGATTGACTTGGTTTGAAACGCCTGGTATCTGAATCTTGTATTAGGTTCCACACAAGCAGCCTAAATAGCATGGTCGTCAACTGTAACGGGAACATGAACTAAACTGAAGTTGTGCTTGCTACACCCCCAAAAAACAGTAATTTATAGATGCTGCTGCTGAAGTAAATTATACTTGCATTAACATGGGTTACTCTTAATAATGTCAACCACTGATACAATAAAACCCACATGTATGATTGTAGAGATTAGACCCCAAAGCCATAAATAAGTATGTGAATGTTCCACGACCCATGGTATATTGGAATTTCCAGAAAACGTTAGTCTGACACACCTTATTTGTTTGCTATTTTTGGACATTCGATCACAACATGTGTAACACCTAACCTTATTCTTAGCAATCGCAGAACACACACACACACACACACACACACACACACACACACACACACACACACACACACACACACACACACACACACACACACACACACACACACACACACACACACACACACACACACACACTACCCCACCCCCCACCCCCCACCCCACGCTTAATGATGAGTCTTATGACGGCACGCCTCCGTGGCCTAGAAGATAGGGCGTCGGCCCGGAGAACGGAATGTAGGTGGTTCAATCAAGAAGATACTTATTGTTACCCTGCATGCATACCGCACACAAATGTGTATTGTAATAACAGTAGACGATTAATTAGATCAAACTTTTTACTTCCTAATGTAGGTATAGTCTACAAAGAAACAAGCAATAATTGACATCATAGCAATCGTATCTTGAATCTATATATAGTCTTCACATTGTTACTATGCACATATGTAAGCCTATACTGTAAAATAAGCATATCTCTACGGTCCAGACGCAATACATTTCAATTATGTTTGCATGCACATTTATATGTGCCCGCAAGATATCGCCAATGTACCCGCAAGATATCGCCAATGTACCCGCAAGATATCGCCAATGTACCCGCAAGATATCGCCAGTGTACCCGTAAGATATCGCCAATGTACCCGCAAGATATCGCCAATGTACCCGCAAGATATCGCCAATGAACCTGCAAGATATCGCCAGCGTACCTGCAAGATATCGCCAATGTACCCGCAAGATTCGCCAATGTACCGCAAGATATCGCCAATGTACCCATAAGATAACGCCAATGAACCCGCAAGATATCGCCACTTTCACGAAAATTGTTCGATAAAATTGTTAATGTTCTTCTTCGAGCGTTGTTTTTGCCATTACTTTCATTGTACATATACCTTGTGCTAAGGTGATTTGAGTTTAATGCCGCTATGAACAGTTTTCCAGTTATATCACGGCATGTCAGCTTAATATGGGAGGAAAGACATTGTGCTGAACGTAGTGAACATATTTCTATAAACACCTTTGATTACAGTATGAAGTGTATGTTTATAAAAGGTCCGACAAATAATCAGGATGTTATACTAAAGCAATTGTTTACAATCTAAATATAAATACCCCTAGACTTTATCGTATGACAGAGACAATTGTATGCGCAGGATCATAAAAGTAAATTATGTTGCCATGGAAATACAATAATGTGAAAATAAATTACAGCTGGCAATAGTTATTTCCTGATAGCGAATAAATAATCCAAGAAACTTGAGAACGCCCAATGTGAAATGAACACTTTAAAACCAAATTACACTGTTAATATACACAGAATGATAAACTCATTTCACGATCTCTGACCTTCCGCCACGCTGTCATAGCAACATGATCCAAAAGTCTTATCAGTGGTCATATGATACTAGACTGATACTATATGATATGTGCTAAAGGCCGGTTTTCTACTACTGCTTTACATTGGGGTCACAATCGTTATTTACCATCACATCCTTGATGTTAACCATGCATGTCACGACCACTGCTTTTTCTATTCTCTTCATGCGGTCCTACATTTTGTCCAGTATTGTATTTTAATATCCTATTTTAATATATTAAAATTCAATTGACGTTCTCTATTTAACGTCACGTCTATGACATGTTGTACAACTATAGGCATTATCAACGGGTAGTTATTTCCTGGTATTTGTACGCGTTTATTGAGTGGGTTATGGCACTGTAACATTCTGTGTAGAGATGAGTCAGCATCCGATGGACATGCAGTCGAACGCAAGATTCGCCCGGATTATGTTCCTTGGTTTTACTGTAATCGTCTACGACATTCATAACTTTTAGATTTGTTCACA